TGGACTAGAAGACCTCCAAGGTCCCTTCCAACTCATTCTGTTCCTATCCCATTCCATTCTTTCCTACTCTTCCCTATTTCTATTCCTATTCCGAAGGCAACCGACTTTCTTGTGTTTTTTTTCCCCTTGAAAACGTTTCCCTTCTCACCCAAGAAGCTTCTTCCGTTCTAATTTACATTCTAATGCCATTGAGTTAGAACGGAAGAAGCTTCTTGGGTGAGAAGGGAAACGTTTCCAAAGAAAAAGTAAAAAAGAATAAGGAAGTCTGGTTGCCCTTTCGGAAAAACACCTTTGGGACAATGGCAGCTGGGACTTTCTCCGGCCAAACTGACCAATACCCTTGAGCCGAGTGGACGGTGGGCTGCATCCGAAGCATCCAAAGGCCTTCCTCTTGGCTGGACTGACCCTGACGGCCTTCCTGATGGCTTTGCCCTCTGGCCTGGTGGGATGAGAGTTGTGGAGCCCATAAAATGGCTGTGCAGGTAGAACAGAGACTTAAGACTATGCAATTCAATCAGAATAGAGCCAAAGGAGCTTTTTTCAGGAAGCAACTGGACTTTGTTTTTTTTTTCTTTGAAGACATTTCACTTCTCATCCAAGAAGCTTCTTCAGTTCTGACTGGAGACTTTTAGCTATGCACTTTGGGTTGAACACCCTTTGAACGGTATAGGAGTATAAACGGATTTCTAGAAAAATGCCACACTCCAGGAACCATTTGCATCACTCAGCTGTCACCCTGAGGACACAGATAAACTTCTGAGGGGCCTCAAGGACCCTCCAAAAGGATGCAAATGACCAGCTGCCTGCAAGGAGTATCAATCCTTCCGTTCCCCACCATCCAGCCAGAGCTGAAGAAGCTTCTTGGATGAGAAGTGAAACCTCTTCAAAAGAAAAAAACAAGGAAGTTCAGTTGCCTCTTGAAAAAAAAAGTCCCTTTGGGACAACCACGACCTGGATGGCTGAGAACCCCCGTAGACAATTACACAGGCACCCCCCGTTATCTAAGGTCCCAATTGTGTAAATAGTTTTGGGCAACAGGCACCAGAAGTGTCAATGGTTTAAATCGGGGCAATCTTTCCTCCAGTAGCACCGTAACCAACCCACAGACTTGGCTGGCTTTTAAAGTCTCTGACCCACAGCTGCTCTCTTGTGGAGACGAGCCACCACTGAAGTCCGGAGCTTTTTTTCTTACATCCTGCCCACAATTACCTCTTGGAGATCTCTGTGTAGCGCAGCTGCAGCTTACCTTGGAGGTCCCGCTGTTAAGAGAGAGAGAGAGAGAGAGAGAGAATGACTGAGTGAGCGAAGCTATTCATCTCAAGTGCCATAATCTCAAGTGCAAAAAAAAAAAAGAAGAAGCAGCTGCAGATACAAGTTCTAGGAAGGAATCATAGAGACTTTCATTTCTACCTCCGTAACTGTCTGGTTTGGCACAGCAACCAAGCAGGACAGGTATAGATGTCAAGGGATAGTTAGGACTGCAGAAAAAAAAACACAATTGCCACCACAGAAGACCTGTATATTGTACAGGTCAGAAAGAGGGCTGAGAAACTATCTGCAGGCCCTTTTCATCCTGGACATAAACTGTTTTAAATTCTATCGTTACATCAAGGCACAAAGACAGTTTGTCTTGGGCCTAAAGATATTTAGCCATGTAGTAGGGCTGAATTACAATTATCCTCCTCATCCTTCCCACTGCCTTCTCCTATTGGTATCTATGATTTATTACTTCTTGTTCTATCTTATGATTAATGATCGTGACCATAATTGATGACCTGTCACTTCGTTGCTTGTGTGTTACACGTGAGATCTTCTGCACAGGAGGCAAGTTCCTCATGTGTCCAATCACACTTGGCCAATAAAGAGTATTTCATTCTACATCTGAGCCACTGCATTCCTAACAACAATTTAAAAACCCCCCACAAAGTCTGTTCAAGGGTCAGAATAAACCCAGGGACTCTCTCAATTGAGAGCTGTTAAATAAGAATACAGGTAGTCCTTGCCTTACAACAGTTCGTTTAGTGACGGTGCAAAGTTAAAAGTGACTTATGACCGTTTGTCACAGTTACGACCTTTGCAGCATCCCCGCGGTCCCGTGATCAGAATTCAGACGCTTGGGAACGGGTTCACACTTACGACCGTTGCTGTGTCCAAAGGTCCCGTGATTCCCCTTTTGCGTCAAAGTCAAAGGAGAAAATGGATTCACTTAACAGTCAAGGCAAGAAAGGCCGTAAAATGGGACAAAACTCACTTAACAACAGAAATTTTGGGCTCAATTGTGCTCGTAAGTTGAGGATCTCCTGAGCATGATTAATCCTCTGCCATTCAGAGTCGCTCTGGCCAGAGAGATGGGGAGGGGCATGTAAATTTAACAAATAATAATCCTGCTATTAGTAAAACCCCTAAAATTATGACCAGGGGTGGAAAGACCAAATAGCAGGCAGAAGTGCTATTCCTTCCTTCCTTCCTTCCGGCATAAAGCAGCTCCTGGCACCTTTCGTCCAAACATCCACTACTCAGCTTTCACCTCACCATTTAGAAGTGTCTATCAGAGCTGAAGAAGCTCCTTGGAGGAGAAGCAAAACGTCTTCAAAGAAAAAACAGAAAGTCCAGTTGTCTCTTGGGAAAAAAAAGCTCCTTTGGGACCATTTAGAAATGTTTAAATAGTTACACTTGGCCTTCTACACACTTGTGCCTCTCCTTAAGACTGTGGACTTCAACTCCCAGAATTCCCCAGCTAGCATGGAAGAAACTAGACTAAAATAGAATAGCAGAGTTGGAAGGGTCATCTAGTCCAACCCCCGTACGTGTTTCTTCGAAGGCAGCCATTTTTAAGGTGGGTGGACTTCAACTCCCGGAATTCCCCAGCCAGCATGCCCTGGAGTTTGTGGAAGTGGGCACGATGCAAATCTTGCTAATAAATATCCCAAACCCCAAATTTGGAAGATTGTAAAACTATGACAGAATAACAGAGCTGGAAAGGACCATGTAGGTCATCTACTCCAACTCCAATAAGTGTTTCTTCAAAGGCAGCCATTTTTAAGTTAGGTAGACTTCAACTCCCAGAATCCCTTAGTCAGCCTCTTAGAATCCACCAAGCTGACTGAGGAATTCTGGGAGTTGAAGTCTAAAAGGGGCAACTACTTTATTGGTCCAGCCTGGAAGGGCATTTGCCGCACGGAAACTACAGACCCCAGAATTCCTCGCGTGGGGGAAAGGGCGGGGTTAAGGCGCGAGGCCCCGCCCCCACGCTCAGGGTCGTTGGGGAGACGCCCGGCGGGGCCGGCCAGGCGTTTCTCGGACCTTCCGAAGAGGCGGAATTGGGGAGCCCAGCCGGCGCGCCCGCTCGCCCTTACCCCGGCCAGAAAGTTGCGGATAAGGCGGATGATACCGGTGGCCGACGCCATCTTGGCTTCAAGGTTGCGCGCTGCCTGCGCTGGGCACGCAGGGAGGAGGGACGCCAGGCCCCGCCCCTAGATGGGCGGAGCTAAGCGGCACGCCGGGGAGAAGGGCGGAAGAAGCCGAAGCGCCGCTTCGCGCGGTGCATGCTGGGAGGAGGGGGGAGAGGGAAGCATGACAGGGAAGGAAAGCAAAATGCACAAATTGTTTTTTTTTTTTAATGCCGGTGTTTTTCTTTTTCTTTTTTAAAAAAATTGTTATTTAAAAAAAAATCCAAACATACTCTCAACCTCCCCAATGGTGAGATGGGTGGACTCCACTTCCCAGAATTCCCTGCAAGAAATGCAAATACATAGAAGCAATGCCAATTTTCATTTTGCATTCTTTGGCTTACGGTCATTTCTCAGAAGTTGGCTAATAACTGAATGAATGGAATAAATCAAGGGTCTTCAAACTTGGCAAAGTGTAAGACTTGTGGACTTCGACTCCCAGAATTCCTGATCTAACATGACTGGAGGAGGAATTCTGGGAGTTGAAGTCCACAAGTCTTAAAGCTGCCAAGTTTGAAGACCCCTGGAATAAATGAATAAGATAGTCCTCGACTTACAACAGTTCATTTGGTGACTGTTTGAAGTTACAACTGCACAGGAAAAAAGGGACATGACCATTTTTCCCACTTAAAGCTGTTAAAGCCCCCCGCCCCCCCGCACATGATTAAAATCTGGATCTTGGCAGGGTCCCCGGATGCACGTAATAACGGTGTTCCTCATTTAAGAACTGCAGCGGAGGTAGCAAGAAAGGGTTGCAAAACGGGACAACGCTCACTTCACAAATTCCTCACTTCGCCACATCAATTTCTGGGCTCCGTTGTGGTCATAAGTCGAGGACTACCTGTAAATTTAAAAAAAAAAATGTGAATCAATGAAATAAAAGCCTCCGAGGCCGGGGAGTGGCTATAAAAATGAAATAAATAATAAAATAAAATAAAGTTTTAAAAATCCCGTGGGAAATAAGCCCTCTGCGGCAGGGCTCTCCAACCTTGGCCGCCCCTTTGAGACTTGTGGACTTCAACTCCCAGAATTCCCAACCTTCGCCAAGGTTGGAAGACCTGCTCTGCGGGATTCCCAGCCGGGCCTGCTCTCTGCCTCTCTCTCTGCTGCCCCCTGCGGCCGTGCGTGGCAGGGCAGCCCGGAGCCGCGCGAGGGGCGGGGCCAAGCGAGCCTCTGCAAAGAAAGCAATAGGAAAAAAAAAAGAAGTTCCCCGCGCGGGGCCTGCCGGGAAAGAGCCCCCCTCGCGCAGAGAGCCGACCTCTCGCGAGGCTTCCCGCCGAGGCTATATAAAGGCGCGGCCCTCGCGCGGGGATCTTCTTCCGCTTCCGCCGCCTGAGGAGGTGCAGTCATGGACACCAGCCGCGTGCAGCCCATCAAGCTGGCCCGCGTGACCAAAGTGCTCGGCCGGACCGGCTCGCAGGGGCAGTGCACGCAGGTGAGGGGGTGGGGAAGCACGGGGCCCGAGGGGTTGGGGCTGGGGTGGGGGAGGCGGCGGCAGCGGCAGTCTACCTGACGTCCCTCTCTCTCTCTCTCTCAGGTGCGCGTGGAGTTCATGGACGACACCAGTCGCTCCATCATCCGCAACGTGAAGGGCCCCGTCCGCGAGGGGGACGTCCTGACGCTGCTCGAGTCCGAGAGGGAGGCCCGAAGGCTGCGCTGAGGCCCGCCGGGGGAGGGAGGGGTAAGAGGGGGAGAGGTGGGGCGGGGAAGGGGGAGGGGTTAAGAGGGGAAGGGGCGGGAGGGGTGGGAGGGAGGGGGGCACGGGGGGGGGGGGGGGAAAAGGGGGGGGGTGGGGGGGGGGGGGGGCTCTGTTCAGGGTCAGCCAGGTCGGGTCTGACTGCCCTCCCCCTCTTTCCCCCCCCGCAGGTCTTCCCTTCCCGGCCTACCAGCGATGAGCCGGCAAATGTGTGGAAATAAAAGAAAATCTGGGTTTTTGACTCGGTGTCAGGTGGATTTTTTTCCCCTTTACTTAAAGAGTCCCATCTCCCCCTTTTTCTGGGAGTGGGAGTCCCCACATCCCACCTTTATAGTGGGGAAGAGGTGGAGAAAGGGGATAATGGAAGGGACCCTGGAGGTCATCCAGTCCAACCTCTAGTCTGACCCTACTTAAGTGGCCCAGTGCATGGGGTTAGACGAGATGGTCTTTGGAGTCATTTTCAAACTTGACACCCCCCCCCCCTTTCTGAGGATGGCTTGAAGGAGCCCCATTTGATGTTGAAACTGCTTTCCAAAAGGATACAGCAAACTGGGCTGTTTCCTGGCTGATGGAGTCGTCGCCACACCTGGGCTTCCAAGCTTGGCCCTTCTAATGTCATCCTTTGTGTGAGGTTTTCCTTTCTGGGTTTTCCTCTTTTTTGACAGCTGCTGCATTTCCTGGCCAGCAGGCCTCCTCTGGGCAGGATTCATTAAAAGATTGGCCCTTTCAGACTAGGTTAAATCTTAAAGTGACAAAAGGGTCATTTGGTACCAATGAAGGAGAATATTTGCAGCTCAGGGTTGACCTGAGGGGTCCCTGGTGCCCTCTGAGCTTGCTGTGGTTTCCTTGCAGACGTTTCATGACCCAACTAGGTAACATCAGTGCTAGAAGGGAATGGGGTTTACTGTCAGTTTATATTCTGGTGTCTTGCCCAGTTTGTGGGGGGCGGTGAGAACGAACCCCACTCCCTCCTAGCACTGATATTACCTAGCTTGGATCATGAAATGTTTGCAAGAAAACCACAGCGAGCTCAGACGGCCCCAAGGATTGTTTTTGGTGTTTTTTTTTCTGACGTTTTATCAGAAGGCACCTAATCACAAACACGCCCCTACCTTTTAATGACATTTTTCTTGGTCAGAAAGGATGTTGCTCATTTGCTCCTAGTTTTTGGCATGTTCCATTAGTGTCGCCGCCTCCAACATTCCCCGGAAATTCTAGTTTTCAGCCTTGAAAGCTGTCCACACCTGTGAAGGACTCCAGTTGGGGAAAGAAGGGGCAGTTTGTAGCTGGGTCACACACTTACGTGACATCATAAATGTCTCCCTCAGAGGATCTGCCTTTATTGGAACAGCTATGGTGGGGGGCACGCTCCTAGGGGGAGGTGTAGGGCGAATCTGACCTGCAGGGCCCCCCTTTGAAATGGCAGAATGCTCTGGATCCTGGATTGTAATGGCCACTAGCTGAGTGGAATACGGATAGTCCTGGAGCCCTTGCAGTCATTAGTTGTGATGTTCATAAAATGAGTCATGTGTCTGACCCAATTTTACAAGGCCGTCATTAAGCAAATCGTGGTTAAATGACACTGCTGTTAAGCGAAGCCGTTGTTTGCTATGGGGCATTTTTGCCAAACCGAAGTACATGCTTGTTTTCAGCAAAAAAAAAAAAAAAAGCCATAAATTGAGGTTATCTGGTGTGGGATGCTTCAGATGTGAAGGTCAGGTTAACAAGAGTTGGAAGGGACCTTATAGGTCATCTAGTCCAACCCCCCACCCAAGCGGGAGACCCTACACCATTCCTGACAGATGGCAGTCCAGTCTCTTCTTGAAAGCCTCCAGGGATGGAGCTCCCACAACTTCAGAGGGCAACTTCTGTTTCTTTGGTCGATTGCTCTCAGTGTCAGGAAATATCTCATTTCCAGGTTGAATCTCTCCTTGGTCAGTTTCCATCCTTTATTCCTTGTCTGGCCTTCGGGCGCCCTGGAAAATAGCTTGACCACCTTCCTCCTCTTTGTGGCAGCCCCTCAAATACTGGAAGGCTGCTCTCCTGTCTCCCCTGGTCTTCTCTTCCCTAGACTAGCCAGGCCCAGTTCCTGCAACCGTTCATCGTATGTTTTAGCCTTCAGTCCCCCTCATCATCCTGTTCGCTCTTCTCTGCCCTCTTCCCAGAGTCTCAACCTCTTTTATAGCATGGTGAGCAAAACTGGATGCAGAATATTCCAGGTGTTGCCTTATTAAGGCTTTATAGAGTGTGATTAGTACCTCCCTTATCTTGTTAATGCAACTTAGGGTGTGGAGTGGCTGCTGAGCCCCCAGAACGTGGTCATGTGACTGCAAGGTGTTGGGGCACCAATGGACACCAGATCTTTGGAACTGAATCATTAAATGCCTTTTTTGGAGGTGTGTCTTATCTCTGACAGATTGCAAACCAAGGACTAAATGATAAGTGACCTTTCAGCCCCTCTAACTCCGGTCATTTGGAAATTGCTCCTGTGACCACCATTTCTGTTTCTTTGGTGGGCTCCTTGTCTCAATTGAGTCCGGAGCCCTCTTTACAAACAAGACCCACATGAATATTGTACCCCAAACGGCCTGTGAACAAATTGCCCGAAATGTCCTCCCTAGTTTTAACTCGACCCTCTGCCAGAACAGCACGAGACAGGAATGAAATGTTATGGGATTTTATTCTAGCAAGATAAAAATTGGGATAGGTAAGTTTCTAGTCCCCATGGAGCACTCCACCCAGTTTGGATTACAGTTGGAGATTTGGCTGGTGAATGCCTTTCCCCCCCCCTTGCTTGCTTGGGGAAGAGGCCTTGGGCACCAGCCTCCACTGCCCAACTTCTCTCCATGTGCGCAGAGCAAGAATTTTGCACGATAAAACCGGGTCACTGCTTTTCCCTGATGGCTTTTCCCTTGTTGGTGGAACTGAGGCCCCAGTCAGGTTGACCAGGTGGGCGGCCCGAATTAGTGAAGCCGGCCCCAGGGTGAGCTTCACCCCGCAGGGATCCCAAGCGCTCGCCGGAGGTTGATAGCGGTGCAGGAAGCGTTTCCTGGAATGATGGGCTTTCTCTTTGGTTGCGGGTCCTTCCAGCCAGCTGCAGGCGGGACAGTTCAAGGGCCAAAGCCGCCTGGGGTTGCAGCCGGATAGTGTCACGCTCCCGTCCTGTGAACAGAGACAAAAACCAATGGCTGAAGAGGCCTCCCCCCTCTTTTCCTCTTGTAACTTCTTTTCCTGGCACCTCCTGAGCTCTGATTTGGTCTGCAGGCTGTCTGGCCAACGGGGGAAGAGCCTCTTTCAGCGTAAGGTCCGCTCAGTGAGGGAAGGCCAGGAGTTGACATTCTCTAAAGCGTCTGACCCAGCCTCCGCAACTGTGCTTTTGGTGCCTGTTGTGGGACTCGGCCTTGGTTTCCTTGCGCAGGTTGAAACCGACAGGCTAACATCTAACAGGTGAAACGTCTGCGGAGATTCTCAGTCGTCCAGGTCGTGGTTGTCCCAGAGGTGCTTTTTCAGGAGGCAACTGGACTTTTCTCTTTTTTTCTTTTGAAGACCTTGCAGACTACAAAAATTGGGGGGAAAAAAGAAATGCCAGACTACAGGAGCCTTTTGCACCACTCAGGTGACCCCGAGGACACAGATAAACCTCCAAGTGGCCTCAACGACCCTCTAAAAGGATGCAAATGACCAGCTTTGTCTGCAAGGGGTATCAATCCTTCCCTTCCCCACTATCCTGTTGGAGCTGAAGAAGCTTCTTGGAGGAGAAGTGAAATGTCTTCAAAGCAAAAACAAGAAAGTCCAGTTGCCTCTTGAAAAAAAATGCCCCTTTGGGATCTAACAGGTGACCAGTCTTCAGTCCAGAGAAACTCAGGGCTAGTTGGTGAGGGCACCTGGACCTCTGCCAAGGGGGTGCGCTCACCTGTCTGCGGACTGTGTGAGGTGGGCAGATATCAGAGCCGCGAGGTTGTCGTGTCCGGCCTCCAAGGCTATGGCCACAGCATCGTTGCCGTCCTATAAGAGAGAGGTAGGAAAGTTACGAGTGGTGTCTGGGCCTCAAGAGGCAGCCCTGTGTTTCCAAAATAAAAATAAAAAATAATAATAATCAGGAGTCTTGTTAGCTATTTTTATGAAAATGCTGAACATTTTTTAACTTCTCTCGATTCTGCTTGTCACCTTTGGAAGCCACATTGAGATTCGATGCTTCCACGCTGCCATAATGGAGCCTGAGAAAGTGGGAGGGGGGGGGGGATTCATTGGAGTACATCTAGTTAGACGAAATAAAATTCTTTTGTTTGGTTCAAGGTCACGGAGTGGGGCACATAATGAAATGGGGATCTCACTTTAGGACGGATGGGGATTGGACCATGTGGTGTGGTGATAGCTAAGGGGGGTGGGTGGGTGGGGAATGGATTTGTAGTTTTGACTTTTGCAAGGAAGCCTGAAACTTTCAGATTCGGGATTTCACAGATGTGCCAGTTACTATCCATATAAAGGAACCTTTGCAAAAAGGTCTGTCTGGAATGGAGGGTGGCTGGAAACGCTGGCCCTGCTCCTTGAGATTCGAATGAGGAACGCCCAAAGTTTTAATGGCTTTGAGGTGATTTTCACTTCCTCCTCGCCTTGTGAGATGGCCTAGTAGTGGATTTAAATCACGGACGGGAGATAAAGCAGCCACTGTGACCCGTTAGGCAAACCCAGTCTTCGCCATGAAGCAGTTTTGCTGAACGTTGGAAACGCCATTTTGTTTGGCAAAAGCATTAAGATGTGGCCGCATGAGCTGGGACGCTGCAAACATCCAAAACTCAGCCACGTGGCACGGTGGTGATGGCCACTGAAACTTCAGAGACAGGTGGTAAGCACCCTTGGGGAGGCCGGGCGTAGCTCCGAATGGGCCACTAAGTAAATCAAGGATATTGATGTTCCTTCACCTAAAGAGTTTGTGGTTGGAATTGGGGTGCATTAAATAGCACCAGGGCAATGTGGGTGAATGAGAAAAGCTACGACAAATTCTTAAGTTCCCAGAACTTTAAAAGGAAGAAGAAACCCAGAATTTTTGCTTTATTTTTTTTTAATCTTTGCAAAAGTTCAGCTTTGGAATTCATGCCAAAATGGGAAAATGGAGAGGAGAAAACAACATGGAGAATAGGAGCTTAAGATGGAAATGGATTGACCCAAACAGAACACGGTTCTTTAAGCACATGTTGTATACAAAGGAAAAAAAACCTATCAATAAACATATTTTTTTAAAAAAGTTCGATTCCACAATATCTACAAAGAGAAAAGTTGGGTTCGGGTGAGCCTCCTTTGGGAACGTTTGCCACACTGAGGACTAGCAGCTTGAGACAGCCGGAGGGAGCGACTTACATGATCCGCGATGGAGGTGTCGCAGGCCGGCTGCGCCAGAAGCAGCCGCACGGTTTCCGCCCGGCCGTGCTCACAGGCGCACATGAGCGCGGTGGAGCCCTCCTCGTCCTGCAGGTTGGCGTCTGCCCCGCACGCCAGGAGGGCCTGCACCATCTCTTGCCTCCCGTGGCTGACCGCCAGCATCAGCGCCGTCTGCCCGGCCTGCAACCCCAATGGAAACGGGCACAAGGGCTGTCCGAGGGCTCCCGACCATGCCCAGAGCGCCCTGCTTCCCATTGAACTCCTCTCCGGTCCCAGAGAGGGCCTGCCTTCCCCCCCCCCCCCGAGAAACCTACCTGACTGGCCTTGGCGTTGACGTTGCCCAGGTCGAAGAGGCGCCGGACTACGGCCATGTCGTCCTGCCGCTCCATGGTTGCCAGCGCAGCCAACATGAGGGCCGTGTAGCCTGCTTTATTCTGGTGGTTGACGTTGCAGACACCTTATTTTTTTTGGGGGGGGGGGGGGGGGGAAATTGGTGGTGAGGACATGAGGGGAGAGAAGCCCCCATCAACCCTGAGTTGCCTTTCTGGTCTTCAGTGGCCCATGGGCACCGCATTGGGGAAGATTTTACAGATAATCAGAGTTGGAAGGGATCTTGTAGGTCATCTAGTCCAACCCCCTGCCCAAGCAGGAGACCCTACGCCATCCCTGACAAATGGCAGTCCAATCTCCCCTTGAAAGCTTCCAGGGATGAAGCTCCCACAACTTCTGTTCCATCCGTTGATTGTTCTTCCTGTCGGAAAATTTCTCCTTATTTCTCATTTTGAATCTCTCCCTGATCAATTTCCACCCATTCTTCCTTGTCTGGCCTTCGGGTGCCTTGGAGAATAGCTTGACCCCCTTCCTCCTCCCTGTGGCAGCCCCTCCTCAAATATTGGAAGGCTGCTCTCCTGTCTCCCCGATCCTTCTCTTCCCTAGACTAGCCAAGCCCAGTTCCTGCAACCGTTCTTCGTATGTTTTAGCCTCCAGTCCCCTCAACATCCTGGTTGCTCTTCTCTGCACTTTTTTTGAGAAGCAACTGGGAATCGTCAGGTAAGACTGGTAGAAAGGGGCTTTTCTTGAGGGGCGGGGGAAAGAGTGAGGCTTTATCCGTTCCAGTCTGTTTAGGGACTGGCTCAGAAACAGGGACTGCGAGAGGGACCTTGGAGTCCTAGTGGAGGATCCCTTAAACCCGAGCCAGCCGTGGGTGGCAGCAGCCCAAAAGCGAACACAGTCCTGGGTTGTATAAACAGAGGCACAGAATCAACACGAAGTATTTGCACTGCTTTATAAAGCCTTCATAAGGCCACACCTGGAATATTCTGCACCCAGTTTTGGTCCCCACATTACAAAAAAGAGGTTGAGACTTTGGAAAAAGTGCAGAGAAGAGCAACTAAGAAGATAAGGCCTGGAGACTAAACCATATGAAGAACGGTTGTGGGATTTGGGTTTGGCAGGGGGGACGTGGTAGCAGCCTTCCAGGACTTGAGGGGCTGCCCCAAAGAAGAAGAGAAGCTATTCTCAAAGTACCTGAAGGCAGGACAAAAAAGAATGGAGACTCCTCATGGGGAGAAGCAACCTGGAACTAAGGAGAAACTTCCAACAGGGAGGACAATTAACCAGTGGAACTGCTTGCCACCAGATACTGTGGGCGCTTCATAACTGGAGGTTTTGAAGAAGAGACTGGACAGTCACATGTCTGAAATGGTCGAGGGTCTCCTGCTTGAGAAGGGGGTTGGGCTAGATGATCTCCAAGGTCCCTTCCAGCTCTATTCTATTCCAGGGGCCAGTTGGAAGGGTGGGGCTGATCCTGTCCGTGAGCCACCTGCCTCACTTATAGGGCAGACCTGAGAAAGGGGGCACCTGCCCGGGGTGGCTGGCTGGGCGGGTCACCTGTGTCGAGGAGGAGCCGGACGATGTCGAAGTTGGAGTGGGAGACGCTGTAGTGGAGCGCCATGTTCCCGTTGCCGTCGGAGAGGTTGAGGACGTGCGCCAGGAGTGCCGGGGAGAGCTCGTCCAGGGCCTGCAGGTACTTGGCCACCTTGCTGGCCCGGGAACTCTTCTGGCTGGACACCCGGAACCATTCCCGCAGGACCAGGCTGCTGCTGGACAGCTGGGCGCCAAGCGGAGCAGAGGTCAATGCGCGCCCCTTGCCTGTCCCGCCTCGCAGGAGGTGTTTCCGTTCCGGGGCTCCCTTTTGCACCCAGAGACGGGGAGGAAAACCCGTAACTCCGGCAAGCCTGTGCCGGCCAGTTTGGGGGACAAAGCAGCCCTGAGATGGCCACCACGAATTGCCCCCCCCCCAAAAGTGGGAAAGCAGATGAATTACTTTGGGTCCTTTGTGGAAGGATGTGGGGTCCCCCCTCCCGGCCCAGGGCGGCTTCTGCCAGGCACGGAGTGAAAACCCTGCCGGCTCTTTCCGCCTCCCCCAAGCCCAAGGGCCGCTTCCTGGGGCTACTCACCAGCTCTTTGCTCTTCGGGGCCCCTCTGCCATGGCCCAGGTGGGCCCTCACCACCAAGCAGGCTTCTCTCATCCACGGGCTCAGCTCAAACCTGCCGGAGAGGCCGATTGGGGTCAGCTGGCTGAGGAACCCTTTGCGGGGCACACAACGCATCCGGCCAAGAAAACGGACCGGCCCCTCAAGATGGACTTGCAAAACCAGTAGTAGTGGCCATTTCTGGTTTAATGGCTCTGATTTGGACCCCTCTCTGCCAGGTCTCTGAACGCCCCTGAATGCCTCTTGCTTTTTTTTTGGGGGGGGGGGGGAAACCAGGACCCCTCCCCTCTTTTTTGATCTCCCCAAAGCCAGGCTCCTCCGCTTCCGCTTTCGAGGGATGCTGAGGTTTGTCATTGGCTGGTATGACGTGCTCTCTGGATCCTAGATTTTAAAGTTTGTCCAGATTTTAGTTCAAGTTATTTTGGATTTTTAAATTTTGTCCTGATTACAGTTTAGGTTAGTTTAGATGTTTAAAATTTATTTTTATTTTAGTTAAAAGTTATTTTAAACGTTCCTCAGATTTTAATTCAAATTATTTTAGATTTTAAAGTTTCCCCAGATTTTAGTTCAAGTTATTTTAGACTTTAATGTTTCTCCAGATTTTAGTTCTATTTATTTAAGATTTTAAAATTTCTCCAGATTTTAGTACAGGTTATTTTTTAGATTTTAAAATATCCAGATTCCAGTTCAGGTTATTGAAGATTTTAAGGTTTCTCGGGGTTTTAGTTCAAGTTATTTTACATTTTAAAAGTTTCCCTGGATCCCAGCTCAGATTATTGAAGATTTTAAAGTTTCTCCTGATTCTAGCTGAGATTACTGAAGATCCACAGCAGGGCCTGCTTCCGTTTTTCCAGGAAGTCCTTCAGACCAAAAGGGTTGGAAGCGACTTTTCCCTCATCCAGTCCAATATTTTTCCCTCTTGGGTGGGTGAGGGAGTTCAACTCCCAGAATTCCCCAGCCAGCTGGCTGAGGCATGAAGCACCCCAGCCAAGCACAGCTTGATTGAGGGAGGAGAGGACATAATGCGGGCTGCTTTTACGATTCGAGCCTCGGTGGCATCCCCTGATGTTGGATGCACCCATTTACAGAAAGGAGGAACTGAGTCTGGAATAAGAACAGGCCTGGAGTTGGTGAGGGTGGGAAAATCCAGACCATTCCCTGCAAGGAAGGTCCGGAAGAGGCCTTAGAATCTTAGAACCACAGAGTTGGAAGGGAACTTGGAGGTCTTCTAGTCCAACCAGGGGATGGGATTCAGCTGGTTTGGACTGGTTCGCTTGAACCGGATGTTAAATTGACATCTGGTTCGCTGAATCGGTAGTTGAACTGACTGGCTGGCTCCGCCCACCCAGCCCCACCCCTCCCCACCCCTCCCAGGAGTCTCCATGTGACCCCAGGGAAGTGCAGGAGGCTCCGGGAGGGAGAAAAACGGCCTTTCCAGAAGTTCCGGAAATGGGCCTGTTTCTGGCTTCCGGAGGGCCTCCGGAGTCCGGGAGGCCATTTTCGCCCTCCCAGAGGCCCGAGGGAAGCCTCCGGACTCCGGGGAAGGCAAAAAACGGCCCTCCCGGAAGTTCTGGTAGGCCACGCCCACCCAGCAACCGAGCAGCGAATCAGTTGCTGGGATTTTTGAATCCCACCCCTGAGTCCAACCCCCTGCCTAGGCAGGGAACCTGCATGTGGTTTGAGGGCCTGGGGTCCTTCACCGCTCTTACCTCTCTTTGACCTTGGGAGTTGCTCCTCCCTGTCCGGCCGCATCTTCAGGGTCAGGGCTCAGCTGTGGGTGCCCTGGTGGTGCCTCCTCTGTGCCCGGGCTGCCTTCCTCCTCCTCCTCCTCGCTGCTGTCGCTGACATCCGGGCTGGCAGCAGCATCGCCCTCCAAGCCGCCAACGGTCTCGCTGAAGGAGCTGTGGGCAGATCCCACGCCTGGGGTCTCCTCCTCCTCTTCCTCTTCTTCCTTGTCCTCTTCCTCCTCCTCCTCCTCCTCCTCCTCCTCCTCACTAGAGGTGCTCTCATACCTGCCATGAGAGAGGGCGTCAGAGGAGGGCCAGGGTCCCAGATGTGACCCCAGGCTCGCAGCTGCCCTCCCAACCCCTCTTGTCCACCCCTCTGCCATCTTACCAAGACCCCCAATCGAATCCCACCAGCAAGCAAGGCAGGGGAAGCCCAAAGCCCTCTCCTCTTGCCAGCTGCTCCTGAATGGGTCAGGGGTCTCTTCCTAGGCCTGGTTCTATCCAGCCCTGCCTCTCGGGTGCCTCCCACTCCTCTCTAAAGCAGGGGTCCCCAACCACCGGTCCGCGGACCGGTCCCGGTCCGTGGAACAAGTCCTACCGGGCCGCTGGTTTGCTGGGCGCCGCCATCTTTTTTTGATGAAAAAGTGCTTCCGGTGAGCTTTTCCGGGTAGAAAGCATTTTCCGGGCCGCGGCATAAAAAAGGTTGGGGATCACTGCTCTAAAGGACCCGAGCATGTACTCCAGATCAGGGGTCGGCAAGTGCTGGTGTTTGGTGTGTGTGGGGGGGAAGACTGCCTCTGGACATGGAGGCTAGATCCACATCGAGCAAGGGGACCATCAGCCCCGTCCTCCCCCTCCCCCCAGGCTGTGTGGGGCCCTGTGATTGGTCCACCCCTCCATTTTTTTCTCCCACCAAAGGAGAGGAGAGGTCCGTACTCGCCATTCAGGAGGCCCACAAACTGGAGGGTCTTCTTCCCACTGACCCCCGGCTCTGCCTTGGCCGGGCTGTCCAGCCGCTTCATTATGGACTTCAGAGCACCTGCGGAGGAAGGGGAGGGGTGGGTGAGTGCAGGATGGGGGAGGAGAGGACCCCCCCCATCCCAATGCTTGTCATTACTAGATTGACACCCTGCCTTTACAGATACCGCATGTTCCCCCCAAAATAAGACTGGGTCTTATATTATTTTTTTGCTCTCAAAGACACGTTAGGTCTTATTTTTTGAGTAGGTCTTTATTTTTTCAAGGAAATGCGGCTGGCTGACCATCTTAATCAGGACTTGTTTTTTGGGGGTAGGGCTTATATTATCAACCAATGAGCAGCCTGAAAAAATTACACGAGGGCTTATTTTCCAGTGGGGTCTTATTTTTGGGGAAACCCGGTAGTCCTTCAGTGACAACTGCACCGGGGACGACCGGGGTTGCCGTTGTGAAGCAGTCTTTAACTTCACGTGACTTGATTGCTTTGGTGACAGTAATCCAGGCAGTCCTGGTGTGGGGGTCGTAACCCAAGGTGTGCGGGTCATTAAGTGGGAAGCAGAGGAAGTCCCGGGCAAGGAGATGGGAGGGGGGGAACCATGGGGCAGGGGGGGGGGGGACCCCATTTCATGGGGGGGGGGGGGGGGGGGGCTCGGCATTGTGTGAATTCATTCTGGGGAATGAAAGCGGGGGAAGGAAGGTACCCACAAGCAAAGAAAGGGGAAAGAGGGAGTGGCCTTTGTGCAAAGGGGCCTGCTGTGTGTGTGTGTGTGTGTGTGTGTGTGTGTGTGTGATCTCTGTGTGGGGAGGAAAACTTCCCTACCTTTTCAGGGGCAGGAAGAAAATGTAGAGGAGACCTTTCAAGCTACACGGGGGGCGTTCAGCTGTGTTTGGGGGCTTCAGCTTGGACCTTGTGCGCTGCATGTGACGGTGGCACTCACCAGTCCCCGAGGCCCCCTCTGCCCCGTTGGGCTCACGGCTGCCCTTGCCACCCATCCCCAGGGGCAAAGCTCGGCCAGTATCTGGTTCATCCTGTGCGGTCCCTTCCTTGCCACTGGTGGACTGCCTGGCATCTTCTGAGCCGGACCCCTCCTCAGCTGTGCCGGCATCGGGCGTTGCCACTGTGGATCTGAGGTGCCCTTTGTGGCCCCCGTGCTCCAGGGGGATCGGGGATGCTTTCCGTGGCGAGTCCTCCTCGGTGGCCTTTGCTTCTCCGTTCACTTCTCCTTGCAAGTTGCAACCGACTCCTACGTGGGACGTTTGCAGAAAGCTCTGGACGCCAGCCTCCACCGTTTCGACGTGGCTGCCCACAGCCTGGCACCGGGTGGGCGTCACGGCCTCCACGCAGGCTTCAGCCATCTCCGGACAGGCCGAGGTAGCTTGGCTGACCAGGCTGCCCGGCCTACGGGAGCAAACCTCCACCCTCAACTCCTCCAGTTCCTGGGTGGCCTCCTTGAGGTGCCCCTCCAGCATGGTGATGATGGCCTGCTGGTGCTGGACTCTCTGCTGCACCAGCTGCATCTCTTCCTCTGCAGCCGAGGAAACCCCAAGGAAGGACTCCATCACCCACACCTCTGCGTCGCACGTCTCCCTCTCGCACCCAACAGCCACTTCCCGGCAGGGTCTTTGGCTCCGGTAGTAGCAAACCACTTCACTCATGTCCGCCTCCTCTCCGACTCCGATGGACCTCTGGCCGGGCTGCTCCACTCTTGAGGGCCGGCCCGCTCCTCTGCTCTTCCCGGCCCTCTCTGGCCCGGTCAGCCGCTCGGTCAGTTTCTTCAGCTCTGCAATCTTACTTGTCCTTCCTTTGGTCGCCTCTCCCTCCCTCTCAGGCTGGGGCCCTCCTGGGTCCGGACAAGCAGGCCCATCTTTGAGGCCTTGTCTTGGGGGGAAGCAGAAGACCCCCGACTCCTCGGCTTCGGCCTCCCGCTTCTCCCCCAAGCCAGCCGCCACCAGCTGCTCCTTCTCCTGCTTCAGCCGGCAGATCTGCTCCTCCAGGAGGGGGATCATCTTCACCTGCTCCTCCAGCTCCTTCAGCTGCTTGAGAGCAGCGGCCATCTGCTCGCGGACGTGATGGAGGTGTGCGGGGCTCGCGGCCGGAACCGGGGTGCTCCTTCCTGAATTAGGGGGGCTGGGCTTCACAGGCTCAGCTTGGCCCTCCCCGGACGGAGAGGATGCAGAGTTGGGGGGACACGTGCTGTTTTGGGAAGGGCCGCCCGTCCTCTTGGGCGCTGCAGGCCCTTCGCTGCTCACCAGCTGTGCCTCCTCCAGCCTCCTGCTGGTCTCCAGCAAGGTGGTCTCCACCCGGCTGCCTCTACCCACCGAATTGGGGGAAGCTGGAGGGAGAAGCCGGCCGGCCGGCGGAGGAGACGTCGGGAAGGAGCAGCCGTCTTTGCCGGCGTGCTCCTTGGTTCCGTAGGATGCCGTTCGGGGCCGCGGGGAGAAGGCCAGCTTCCCATCCTCGCTGGCAGAGGAGGACAGGGACTCGGTGGAGGCCCAGCCCCCCATTTGGCTGCGGGGGAAGCTCTGGGCCGGCTTGGAGCCCTTCCCTTTGCGGGGGAGGGGAAGCTTCCGGAGGGTCTGGCCTCTCTCGATGTCGTCCACGTACTTGAGGAAGTCCAGGTCCAGCAGGAAGCCATAGGGGGTTTCCACCGAGTAAGGCATCTTGTCCCGGCCCTGGTCCTGATCCGGGCACAAGAAAGGGCCGGCCACACCTGGGAGGCAAGCAGGGATAGCGTGAGTGCCCCGGGGGGGGGGGC